CTCAAATGGTTCAAGGTCAGGACTCTGAAGCCACCAGGACAAGGTCCCTCAATATTACATAATACATTCACCAATGCGCACATACTGTATACAGTATTAAACAAAGTAACAAACTAACACAGTTATGCATTTAACACATGGTAATGCAAACACGCATTTGGATGTATGTACACATTCTGTATATAGATAATCGCAAACAAACACAAATGCACATATGCACACACACACACACACACACACACACACATACAGTGTGCTCTGCTGAGTTACCAGAACAAATTGCTTTCTTTCAGAATGAATTGGTTTCTCCTCAGGTTTCCACAGAACGTATAGTGTTCATGGTCCCTAAATAGAATACTGTCAAGCATCTAATCGCTGTGACACAGACGTTTTCCCCCATGATAATGTGAGATGAGTTGTTAATCATGAACAAATGACTAAATCTCTCTAAATTACATTGTACAGCAAAGCTGCAAGAAAATGACCCGTCATCAATAAAGGCTGAAAATGTAAGCCGCTTTTTGTTTGTTCGAGGTGAGAGTTCCTGTATTACCACACCAATGATGGTCAATATCACACACGCATGGCAATAATTTTTTATGCGTTACAAGGGACATACACGTCCATCAACCACCCACACAAGTTTTTTAATTATTCTGCTAAATTAGACCCGGGGCTTTGTGGGCATGTTGAGACTCGGCTTGATTGACATCTTCTTCACTCTCCTTTTAGTCTTTGTTGCACCTGTTTGAGCAGAACATCCTACACTTTTATAGTCCTTAATGGTACATTGATTCTTGTGACTTCCCAGTATAACTCCACACACCTTCAACCTGACCATGTATCTAATTATCCAGAGGTGCTGGCAACACCTGTGTGGGTGTGCAGGACTTTAAAAAGAACTGTTTGAATTGTTGATTAGCTTAGCATAGAGACTGGAAACAGCTAGCCAGGCTCTGTCTAAAGGCAAAACCAAATCCTCCTTCCAGCACCTTTAAAGCTCATTACTGGAATAGCATTATATCTAATTCATCTATTCTGAACAAAAACCTTTGAGTGAGATTTAGGTGGATTTTGTTACCTTTAGACAAAGCCAGGCAAGCTGTTTCACTGTTTCCAGTCTTTATGCTAACGATCTCCTGACTCCTAAAGCTTCATATTAAATGGAAAGATATGACAATGGTATCGATCATCTCACCAAAGAAATAACTGTTTCTACTGTGTACTTTAAATGGCATTATAGCATCATAAATAATACTTAATAACCTCCCCCAACATGTGCTCTTTACTCAAAGCCGACAATTTCCAAAGCAGGATGCAGTTGACAGTTACTTAAACCAAGCTATAAATATATTACTATTACATTGGAAACACTGCATTGCATGTATAATTAATCTCAAAATGCATGGACCCATTTTTTGCAACTTTGGGTAGCCTCAAGTTCATTTAGTCCAAAATAAAGAATAACCACTGGTCTGATGTGCTAGATGGTACAAACTGAATATTAATGCAGAGGTCTAGTAGTATTACCCTTGGGGAGTGAAGCTCTTAGAACTGGGTCTGACTCTGACCCGAATGTCTCTCTCTTTCTCTCTTTCTCTCTTTGTCTTCCATAATTCATGTTCCATGTGTGTGCTGGCTGGTGGTGATTATTTTTAGCTAAGCACAGTGAATGGGCTGTATACAGAGAAACAGACGTGGACAGAGACACAGGGCAGGTGTGTGTGACATACAGCAGACTTGTGTGTCGGTGGTCGGTAGTTAGTAGTGTTTCTGTGTGTGCGCCTGATGCATGGTGGTGCATTTCTGCATGTGTGTGTGCAGCAGCAGATGCCTGTCTGTTCCGGTTGACAGCAGATGACACGGAGAGTGACGGAGGATGTGGAGGATTTCTACGCTACTGTATAATTGCTGTGTGCCGGATCTGCCTTTACAGTACAGTAAAGGATCAGCTGTCACTGTGTGATCATGTGTTGCACATTGCTAGAGGTGACAATGAAATTTCATATCACATTCCGTCACAGGATCTTGTAATAATAGCTTCTTGGGACGTGGGGTTGACAACTGGTTTCTTTTGATATTTACGTACTTTAACACAAATGGAACGCAAAGGTGAGGATGGTTTTAGAATTTGGATCTGTACTTTGACAACATTTTCCCTGATTTGTACAAACATATAAACAATATATATGATTCACTGTATTATTGTTGATTAAAGTATTCATCTATTAAGCAAAGAGTGAAAATTTTATAAGGAGAAGCGGAATGCTTTGTAACAAAGTGGTACGTGCGCTCTGAAATTTGTGTGTAACTCAAAATAATGCCCTAATAAAAACCAGCATTGACTGATTGCTAGGGGCAGTTTAAGATCTTTTAAAATCATTCCAAGGCTCCTCACTGTCAGCTGTTATTCTCCACACTGTGACAATCAATCATCGCAGAACTCAATTGCCGTGACCCTTTACACACTTGTGTGTGTGTGTAAACGTGTATATGTGAGTGTGACCATTCACCTTCACATGTTCACGTATGTAAAGTGACTGTGACAGATGTGACATTAATGATTCAGCCACAGGAAGGTCTATAACACTCAAGTACAGTGTAATTGCTCAGTCACATAACGATTATCAGACAAAGTGGAGTAACAACGCCTTCCAGCCAGAGCACAGGCAGCATAGGCTAAAGAACTATGTGGCATGTTATGCAACCCCATATGGAATATTAATCATGACAGGTGACAGCAATATGCTCAGCTGAAAGAGTGGACACATGAAAGGCAGCTGGGTCTGAGAAAAGACAGAGAGGAGTATCAGAAGTGAAGCAGTCTGGTGTTGCAAACTCACAGTGTTATTAGAGCTGACAGAGTGAGAGAGATTGTGAGAAGAGGGATTAGAGAGATAGAGTGAGAGAAAAAACTGGAGAAAGGCAAGCAAGTGAGAGTGAATGAAACAGAGGGGACAGAGGGAAAAAGAGAGAGGAAAGAATGAAGCGGATCTTCCCCAGCACCCCAGCCGAATAAAATTAAAGCAGAGGCTTTCTAAGAGTAGCCTACCAGGTATTTTCAAGTATTTTCTCAAGGAAGGAATCTCTGTGGAATCACTGTGAATTTGTTTAGAATAATATTTTGTTGCCTGTTAATAAAAAATATTATTGTCTATTTTATTCTACAGAATGATCAATAAACCCACAAAGTGACACAAGCTGTAAAACAATTTACATATTTCATACAGCTTTATCTATCTGATGTCATCATATGTCTTTCACTTCCAGCACAATACAGAAAAATGTAACAATGCAGATGTTTGGAACAGCCTGCACTCCTCTCATGCACCATCCTGGCTGCTCCTATCTCCTGCAGAGAGAAAACTCACCTCAGCGACCTGGAGAAAAGATCCAAGCGGAGCCGTAGAACTTCACCGCCGTTTACTTGACAATCACGGATACCTCACCGTCTCCGGACCCATCTCACTCTCTTTGTCTATATGTTTCCCCCAATCCCTTACACTGCAGAGCTCGGCCGGTTTGGCGCGGACAACCAAACAGAGCTGCTTTCTAAATTCCCACAGGGCGGGCACGGTGAGGATGCGCTCCGTGCGCCTGGGTTCACTCTGGTTGAAGGATGGGGAGGAGGAGGAGGACGGTGCGCCACTTAACTGGAGTTTGTAATCCGCTGGCTCCATCGGGGGCCGCAGAGAGCGCACAGTACCCAGGGACCAGCGGACGCAAAGCACAGTGTACCAGCGCCATCTTGTGGCTGCTACACCGAACTGACACTTCTAAAACTGATTTTCCGGTGCTCGGCTTTGATTTGCTGCGATGCGCTTCAGCGGTTTTATAATAAGCGATGACCGCACACCTGAGACCACTTGGTAGTTAATTTAAAGTTCACGCTGTGCCCACCAGATTCATTGGTTCAGATGAATTTAAAACGTTTCAACAAAGTGTATGAGGCGATTTTGCAGCTGTAATAAGCAGGGGGGAAATCGAAATAACCAGAAAGTAATGGTGGGCTAATAGTTCTTGTTAGTGCTCTTACCATGGGTCTCATTTCATTTTTTAATCTATTCTGTTGGTTTTTATTATTTCACTTTTTATCATTACGCCCAGGCCTACTATTTTCATGTAGGCCTACACTGATTCCCACTTGCTTACAGTTTATATCTATATGCTGTCTTATTATCAGCTTATCAGTCACAGTAGGCCTACGTAGGCAATCAATCATTGCGATAACCTTTGTGAAAGGTGCTCTGCAAGTAAACATGGATTGATTTCTTTTAACTGCGCTGAACGTTCACTGACTTCTATACTCAAAAGTGGACTAAATGGGTAGGCCTATAGGCTAACAGTAAGCTACTTAAGATTTTTAACAGGTCTGCATTACCGTATGGATTGATTAACTTGTGGCCCCCTATATCACTTTAGCTCGTCTAAGCCTGCTCTGAAATCCCCGGCGCTCTTTATCAAAACTTCTAATAGCCTAGGCTATATAGCCTATGCATAATAGTCCATTTGAAGTGCATCCAATTCAGTGGTATTACAGCTTATCTCTTTCCTGTAGGCTTAGGCCCTGTGCCATATTACAATAAATCACAAATCAAGGCATTTAGGAGAAAACAATTATAAGAGGATATTTGTTCTGAAATGGATTTGTGTGGCTTTTTTGAAAGCCCATTTACCCTAATGATTTATCCACTACTTTGACACTACTTCACACTGGCATAATGCTAGCCTATAATTATACCAACATGGTATTTGGTTCACTATGTATCAGTCTATACATAAACATTATGCTACCTAAATGAATTCTCCTATAGCCTCTTGATCACAGATTTAGGCCTATTGTACTTATAAATAGTATACTCAGTTGTACACTGTCCTCCTGTACATAACTTGGTGTGTATGGTCACGGATGAGATCATTTCATGTCTGGGGCAGGGACCCTTGCTTTTGTGCGCGCCGACCACGCCCCGGCCCCGGCGTGCGGTGCACCAGGCTAGGTTAGCACACAGCTGCTACATCCGGGCGCTCTGCTTGGTTTACAAACCCTGCGAAGATGGCGACTTCAGGGAGGAGTGCATTATTATCCTCCACGTCCACTGGACCTAAAAGCACACTGGAGAACTCCAACCCGGAGGAGGATGACGGACAAGACTTATGGTGGGTGATGTGTTATTTAACCTGGGTTATTATGAGCAGCGTTTGTGCGCGCGGAGGGGTCCATTGTGCTGGGTGGAGAATGGTTTGACAGCTAGTTTGCTAACGAGGCTAGCTAGCATCAGCACCAGACTTGACTGGGCTCTGGTGACACAGCAGCACTAGCTCGCTTTAGCCACTCGCTGTCAGTCGTTGTTTGCTAATGAATGAACACGTCTTGTCTGGTCGAGTTGTAACGAGGCTGTTCTCTCTGCAGGTCCACCATCCTGAGTGAAGTGTCAACCCATTCAAGATCAAAGCTACCGTCTGGGAAAAATGTCCTGGTCATGGGTGGGTATCTGTGTATGTCTGCAGTCTCTCGGCTAGCCAATAGGCATCGTTAGCTTGAATAGCCAAGGAGCTGGTGATCATCTCATTCTGTTAGACTTAATACTGTTCGATAGCTGAGCTAGCTTACTCTGGACCTATGGTGCTTTTGTGTTCAAGTCTGGTGGCTAGCGGGTGCGTCCGCTAGCAGAGAGAGACAGGTGTATTTTACTGAGCGCCTACACAGGTGCACTGGCGCGCGCGCGCGCACACACACACACACACACACACAATCTCATCATTTTATGAGGGAGAATCGGGCCGCTTTGAAACAGTGCAAGTCATTCTAGCATCCAGGGATGCTTATTAGCAGCAAGGTGGAGATGATGCTGAAGGGACCAGACAAACCACCAGCCTTTTTCTGAATGTGACTGGAGCGGAGAGGGTGCCTCCCTGTCTCCTCATATCCTGCTGCTGGCCACAAACACACACACCGTACGCATCCGCCCGGGATAATCCGCAGCCTGCAACTCATTCCTGCTAATCAGCGAGTTGGTTACCGATGTATAGTGAGGATGTAAAGCCTTTTGTCCGTCTATGGCAACATCAGCAAGCTCTGCTTTATGATGCCTTGAGTCCCCCTGTCGGTTTAAGGTAATATGGCATAGTGCAAGAACTGATGCAGTCTTGACCTTATAACACACACAATAACAAAGTCCATTATCAGCACCTGTACAGTCCTTCATGAAAACTGTCTAATATAAAGCGAGTGCACATGGTTCTGGTCAAGGGTATTTGAGTGTTTACAGTAAAGGCCTATTTCTTATATATTCGTGTAGAGCTGAAACAATCACTGTGGTTGATTGATATTATATTATTAGATTATGTCTGCAACTATTTTACTAATCAGTTAATCTCTTATGTCATTTTTCAAGCAAAATTGCCAAACATTACCTTGTTCCATCTTATTAGTTGTTTGGATCTGATGCTTTTATTTGTCCCATGTGACAGTAAACTAAATATTGTTGAGTGTTGGACTGTTAATTGGACAAAACAAGCACATTTAAGATGTCACCTTGGGCTTTATTGTGATTGCATTCTGGCATTTTCATCACTCAGCTGCCAGGCTTTTAACCAGAACAAAAAAATATGACCACATTACTCCTATTTTAGCTTCATTACACTGGCTCCCAGTGTGTTTTAGAATTGACTTTAAAATTCTGTTGATCACTTTTAAAGCTCTTCATGGCCTCTCGTCTTGTTATATTTCTGAACTTTTAGTCCCATACGCACCAGCACGTACCTTGAGATCCTCGGGCAGAGGTCTGTTGTCTGTTCCAGAGTCTCGACTGAAAACTAAAGGGGACAGAGTGTTTGCTGTCAGGGCCCGAGGCTCTGGAACAGCCTGCCCGAGGAAATCAGGTCATCTGTGTCAGTGAACTCTTTTAAGTCCCTTCTTAAAACATACTTTTATAGGAGAGCCTTTCCCGATCTTATTTGACTTTATTTTATCCCTTTTATTTTATTCTATTTTACTAATTTTATATTTATCTAAAACATGTATTTTAGTCTTTTCAATGTTTTCATGCTTTTATCTTGTATTGTTTTTGTATTATTGTCTCTTGGGTATTATTGTCTTTACACTTGTTAAAGCACTTTGTAACTTGTTTTTGAAAAGTGCTCTACAAATAAAGATTATTATTATTATTTATTATTATTATTTTTATAGACCAAATGGTTACTAGATGAATCAAGAAGGTAAAGTGCAGATTAATCAATAATGAAAATTATTATTTGTTGCAGCCTCTATAAAATATCAGAAAATCAGTGTTTCCCAAGTTCAAGATGTGGTCCTGAAATGTCTTGTTTTGTCCACAACCAAATGATATTATAGAGGACCAGAGAATCCAAAAAATATTTATATTTAAGGAGCTGGAATTAGATCATTTTTCTTAAAAAATGACTCAAACAAATTAATTGATTATCAAAATAGTTACCAATTAATTTAATAGTTGACAACTAATCAATAATCATTGCAGCTCTATTCCTAATGTTGCATAGTGTATGTTGCACACCATATCCTATTGCACCCATATTAGTTATATATATTATTTATTATGTAACTAGTAGGCCTTAAAGCTCATCAAAGCAGGGTGCATTGACAAATAGCACCCTCAGCAGTGTTGTAGAGCTGCAACAATTAGTTAATTTAATCAAGCAGTTTAACTATACTATAACTATTAATCGCCAACTATTTTGATCATTGATTAATTGCTTTGAGTCCTTATTTTCAAAAAAACCCCAAACATCCAAATTCTCTGATTTCAGCTTCTCAAATGTGAATATTTTCTGTTTTACTCCTCTTTGGGTTGTGGACAAAACAAGACGTATGATGACCTTGATCACCTTAGGCTTTGGGAAACACTGATTTCAACATTTTCCCCAATTTTCTGGACCCGACAACTGCTTGATTAATCGAGAAAATCAACAGTTTAATTGATTATGAAAATAATCATTAGTTGCAGCCCTAGTATGCCTTAGTTAGTTTGCCATTTAAGATTTTTGGCATTTATAATTAAGTTCTAAACAGCAGTGTTATTAACATAATAGCAGTGGATGTTGGCATCGACGAGTCTACTACCAATCATTTTGTTATTTATTGATTTTGCGTGTGTGTTTTAGGTGAGGTGGGTTCGGGGAAGACCACCTTGGTTGCAAAGTTACAGGGGATTGAAGAGTACATGAAAGGGCGTGGCCTGGAATACCTTTACTTCAGTGTCCATGACGACGACATTGATGGTAACCAGCAACTGCTTGCAGTTCATGGACTAATAGATGTCTGACATCCATGTAGAATTGTCTTGTTTTCCACTACAGAGCATCTAATGTATGTATTTGCCTCCATCTGTTTTGTGCGTATGTCTGTTTAGACCACACTCGGTGTAATGCCTGGGTGTTAGACGGAGACCTTTACCACAAAGGTCTGCAGGGAGTAGCTGTGCCAGTGGATTCGATCAGCAACACTTTGCTGCTGATAACACTTGACATGTCACGGCCGTGGAACGCCCTGGACTCCCTTCAGAAGTGGGCTGCCGTCGCTAGGGAACACATCGACAAACTCCGGGTCGCTCCGGAAACGCTGCGGGAGCTGGAGCACAGACGTGAGTCATGCTGACAGCCGTCAAGCTGACTAGTTGATAAAGTTGAAAACAAAGTATATGTTATTCATGGATCTTAGCAGTATAAAATTGGTTCTTAGATAAGTCTTTGTACATTGGACCTTTTGTCTCGGGAGGCCCAGTTATGAGAATGATAACTCCACCTGTTTAAAATTGTAACCCCCTGAATGGCTAACTAAATGCTTATCATTGTTTGTTTATGTTTGTTGATGTACTGTGTGTGTGTGTTTGTGTGTAGTTGTAAAACAGTTCCAGGAGTACACAGAGCCAGGCAGTGGGGAGGATGGCACCCCGCAGAGGAGGAGCGAAGATGAGGAGAGTGTGCTGCTGCCGTTAGGCGACAACACACTCACACACAACCTGGGAATACCAGTGGTGGTGGTCTGCACCAAGGTACACACTCATTCAATATAACACATTCTATGTGCTGTAAAAATGTCATTATTCTGGGACTTATGAAACCTATGGAAAAGTCATTGTAATAATTTCACTGTGGAATGGTCTTAAAGAAACGTCTTTGTATTGTTTTTGCATTGCATCTATTTCCATTCACCTCTATCTGACACCTATTTATCTGTCCTCAGTGTGACGCCATCAGCACATTGGAGAAGGAGCATGACTACAGAGACGAACACCTGGACTTCATCCAGTCTCACATCAGACGTTTCTGTCTGCAGTGTATCTTTCACTAAACATTGCCCCTCTGCCCTTGGCTGCTGGGAGCTAAAAGTTCCACAAACAAAAAAAAAATAGTGTCAGAAAACAATGAAACTATTGATCAGTACAGTATATGCAGGCATTTTAATGGGGCTGCTAATCAATTCCACTGACTCTGCAATTTTCCTGTCAGATCCTGACATTTAAGGCATTCTTTCGCATGTTGGCCTGTAGTTGATTCTTGTTGTTGATTCAGCTCAGTGACCGGCATTACAAGGTGCTCTGTTCTCAAGTTTCCAGCAGTATTTTGGCCATTGTAAGCTGTTATTACTTTGTTGCAAAGAGAGTGGGATAAAAGTTATAGATTACCCAGTACAGCTTGAAATAGTTAGTTTTTCAGAATCATTTCTCCAGTCTGAGTGGAAACAGTATTACACTTTGAAGGGTTATTGTGTTTAAAATGAGCAAGACTGCACACCGCCTTAGTTGTTCTGTTTACTGGTTTCAGTTAGTCGAAGCTAAAATCTGTTTTTCTGTAGTGCTACTGTTATTAAGAGATGTCGTTGTTTTGTTTGTTTTTATCACTGCAGCGTTAGTTTTATTTTTGCTCCTGTATTTCAAAACGTTGGTGTTGAAAATATCCTTAACAGCCATGTCAGATGGGGCGTCTCTTGTTTACACATCGGTGAAGGAGATGAAAAACCTGGACATCCTGTACAAATATCTGGTTCACAGACTCTATGGCTTTCCCTTCCACAGCCCGGCACAAGTGGTGGAAAGAGATGCCGTTTTCATGTAAGCCTGCCTTAGGGTTAAGGTTTGCGTTATGTTAGGGTAAAGGGGTTGGGGGGCTTGGAACAAACAATGTGTGCGTGTGTTTGTGTATATGTACTAGGACTGTGGGGCCACCAGTATGTGGTTTGTAAGCCTTCCTCTGCTCTATCAGTCCATCAGGTTGGGACAATGAGAAGAAGATTGCCATACTACACGAGAACTTCCAGACAGTAAAAGCAGATGACAGCTTTGAGGACGTAGTAGTCAAACCGCCAGTCAGAAAGGTACAGGCTCCCCCAAAAAACAGCTAACTTGGAAAGATCCTCTAAGCTTACAGCAAACAGATTGATTGCTGCTGTAATATTATGTATCATGACTGTCTACATAACTTTTCACAGAATTTTACCCAGTATCAATGCAGGGAACAAGAGAGTTTAATCCTAATGTATTTATTAGCTGTTGTAGATGTATAAAGAACGACTGAAAGCAAAAAATACTTTTATTTTTTTTGCTTGTCACCAGATTGTTCATGAAAAGGAGATTCAAGCAGAAGACGACCAAGTGTTTCTGGTAAAACTGCAGGTCAGAGAATATTTATGTTGCGTTAACGCCATTTGGTTCATTGCTTGTTGGTACTCCAATTAAATCTGCCTTGAGAGTCTTGAAATGTTAATTGAATACTAATTGGAGTGAGTGTGCATATTGTGTTCTAATTTGCAGTCGCTGCTCGCCAAACAGCCTGCTGTGACAGCAGGGCGACCAGTGGTGAGTGTTGTTTTTTTCTCTATTTTTGGCTGATTAATAAAAAAAAATAGAAGAGAAAGAGAAACCTCCCTCCAGTGTCCATAATATGTGTGAAATGAACTGTTGTTGTTGTTTATAGGACACCACCAGCAGAGCACCCACCGGTTCCCCCAGGACGAGTAACCGTTCCGCAGCGGCCAACGTAGCAAACGCCATGCCACAGTCGGGTACGTCATGTATTTCATCGCTTCACACAGCCGCTCATGACCATTGCCGCGTGTGTTTGTGTTTTAACTCTAATCCCTGTGTGCTGCAGGTCAGACCAGTGAGGGTGTGTTGGCCAACTTCTTCAACAGTCTACTGACGAAGAAAGCAGGGACTGGGGGGCCCGGGACGCCAGGCGGTGGTAACAACACTCCAGGAACAGTACGCAAGTCAGGTGAGAATACACACTACATGTTGGGTTGTACCCATGCTCTGGTTTTGTGGGATAGTAAAAAATAGTCATTAATTTATTCACTCGTGCATTTAATGCCATTTTCAGTCACTCCTCATCACTCGGTTTCTTTTTGTTTGTTTTTTACCTCCCATCTGCCATCCTGTCACTTTCTCACCTCTTCACTCTCCTGCCCTCTACTCCAGACATGAACATAACATGCTAAAGAGAATGATGAAAGGGGTCGAGTGCATCTACCAACCACACAAACAAACAAACACCCATCGTCTTTTATGCCTGTTGTAGCTCTGTGAGGACTGTTTTCATTCTTAACTGTGCTCATAGTCTGTTAATCTCACTGTTAACATCATCCATCATGTATGTATGTGTATGCACTAGTCAGAGGATGCTGGCCACGTTAAGGTGTGTGTGTGTGTGAGAGAAATATATTCCTCGTTTATTATTGCTTGTGTATGTCATAGTTCGTTCTCAGAAGCATCCCTGGTTGGGGGGGTCATTTAATTTGACTGACTGATGATTTAATAACAATTGCACCCTTAATGTTTCCCATTCCTAACAGCCTGTCTCCATTCTGTTCCCCTCCATTTTCTTTGGCATGTCGCATTGCATTTCTCATGACTAACATCTGCCACAAACATTGCACATGATTCTAACTAAGGCTGGGCGTTAAGTTGTTTGTGTTTTTAAACTAGGTAACCACAATAAATGATACAATATATCATATTGGTATTGTTACAACATAGAGACCTGAATTAAACATTGTTGCGTACTTATTCAGTTGCAGGCCTGTCATCACTGGTTTTCAGACGCAACACTTGTCCCTCGCAACAAGGACAGTTTTTACATTAAAGGCATGTTTGACATATTTTAGTGCAAGAACTAATATGCAAATAAGTAAAAAATACATTCGGTATTACCTATAAAGTCTATGGGTATTACCAAAGGTCTGTCACATTTGTATTATTGCAAAATAAATTATTTCTGTTGACCTGGGTATAAACAAATTGTTTCATACTTTCTAAATGCCGTAGGAGTGACATTAATAAACATTTACAAAAGCTAAACCAATCAACACAGTGAAGTCAATTATTTTGGCACCTCTCTGTGACTGTACAGAATGAGACTCAATGAGACCAATGAAACCAGCCCAGTCTTCTGAAATTTCTGTATTAGGTTGAAAAAATGGCCTAATTAATCATACTAAAACCAACCATATTATCTCAATAACACTACTACCAATGTTATCATGTTCACCCAGCTCTTATTTTAATCATGTGTAATTGCCTTTGAGCTTATTGCATTGTGCTTTAACCATTAAATGAAAATGCACTGTTCTTTAATGCACTGGCTAAAATGCTTGTTTGATTACTTGATTCCCTGGTATTCAGTACCAATTATTTATGTCTCTGTGTCTACCCACATTGGATACAGGTTCGAAGCTGGGCCTGGGCGATGTACAGGCAGAGCTGGACCGCATATCCAGCCGGGAGACCGACTCAGACCTGCCTAATGCCAACGACACCCCTGCCACCGATGGCCAGGACACATGAAGACCAACGCACCCTGCACCCCCTCCCCCCAACTTCAGCCTCATCTTCCACCTCCCTTGTTCTTCCTCCCTCCACTCACCTTCCACTTCATTACAAAGATGCGGGGAGAAAGAGGGATGTTGGGGAAAAGGATGGGTGGACACACTTCTCCCTCCCCGTCATCTTTTAAATTTCTCCTCGAGGACAAAAACTCACCCTCTCTTCCTATGGCCCGTGCCCTACACCTTGTTCACCCCCCGCCCCTCTCTCTAAACCCCTCTCTTCTCTTCCTGGCTGTTAAGCTGAGGGCGAGTGTTTGTCACTGTTACATAAAGACTGTCTGTTACATGAGAGTTAATGGGTATGGAGGACCAACAGGGAGGCTGGGGTGAGAAGATATTAGGCGGGTTGAAAAAGATCGAAAGCCAGGGTGTTATATCCCTCCATTTCTTGTGATGGTACAGTTAGTGTTTTACTGTAGGAACTGCTGAAGGGCGCATGTTGAAGAAACTGTACTTTGGTACTCTAGGGATGATTGTGTGATCGTGTGTTTATTGTATGTGGGGCAAGTCACGCTTTGCCTAAGGAAGAGACTCAGAACAAAAACATATGCCTGAGAAACATTGCAAACGGACTTGTTTTTTTGTTTTGTTTTTTTAAGATGAAGGGATAAACCTACCAGTATTTGTGTGTGTGTGTGTGTGTGTGAGAGAGAGAGAGAGAGAGAGAGAGAGAGTGAGGCACATAGAGGAAATTAAGGAAGTTACTTTAACTTAGACCTGTCTGTCGAGAGATTTTTGGCTGTTTGCATTTCAACCAAAAGGCAAAAAAACATTACTATGCTCTTACACTACAAGCTCTTAAAACAGTGCATACACTATTTTTACTGCAGCACTGTCTGCTAGACTACACAAACCAAACATGACAAGAAATATACTTCAGAATCAAAGTTCACACTCGAGCCCCAGTCCTGTGTAAGACACCTAAGGTCCATCATGGCACGCAGTTCTACAATTGGCCACTCATGTTACATACTGCTGTAACCCTATAGATAGCAGACAGTGCACTGAAAATGGAGGGTAGTAGAGAGTAGTGGGGGTGGGTAGCTGAGCTTTACTTGTACAGAAAGAAGCACTAGTGATTCAGTTCCATAGTTACTGTGGGTGAGGGTGGTGGGTGGACAGGGGGGGGGGGGGTCAGAGCAAGGGAGGGTCTCACCAAGAATGTACAGTCATTGTCTCGCTGATTGGTCCTGTTATTTCAGAGCTCTGTGTTGGCGTTTGTATAATCAGATCTGTTAATCAGTCAAATAAAAGGTGTATTTATTCGGATTCATCCACCTGGCTTTTCTGTATTTATTTTTATGTTTTTTCATTCCTCCTCTTCTCACTGGTTTAAAAAGTTATATTTTTGTGATGGGGAATTGCTACAAAGGACAAAATTGCTTACAGTTGAGGATTAGATTGCCAGGCTTGAGCCCATGTTGGTAAGCATCCACTTGCTGCAGTGGCCATGTCAAAGACACCGAATCTTGTTTACAAAGAATGAAATGATGGGAAATTATTTAGAAATTGTCCAAATGCCAGGAAATAGACAGAGTGGCTGAGATATAACAAGCAGATAGTGTTGTTTCTCTACAGTTCTCTTCCCCGGGCAGGAACTAAAGGCTAAAGGAGGACAAGACATTGAGTATAATTTGAGGCACAAACAGAAACCCTTAAAAACACAATTTTGTGTTAGCTCTTGGATGTATTGATTAAATAAAATTGCCATTTTTTAAGGCTGTTAAATGCTTTTCAATCAGTGTTTGCTAAGGTCTACTTACTAGCCTAAAAAAGAATACATTTATGAGCCCCACCACTACAGTATTTACAGTAGGTATTAGAAGGAACCCGAGGGAAATTGTTGTGCAGCAGTTGCTGTACAAAGTAGGAAAGTGTGTGACTATATCTCATTGTAAGTGGTTTCTGTTATTTTGTCCACGCTGTGCACTATGGCAGCTGCCGTCTAGCTGATTCTGATCTCTAACCGCTCAGAAGGGAGGCTGAGACGATTTATATTATTTATGCACAGTATATTTATACAATCCTCCAGTGTCTGACTTGTGTCGGAGTTATTTCTTGATCGCTTCATAAGAATACTATTTGTGGGCAACTTACTTTAAAGCATCATTCTGTATGTATTTTCTTGAGCTCTAAGCGGATAAACACAATACATTTCAGTTTTTTATCAGTAGATGACTGGAATGAATCTCAAACCTAATGAGCACTTGCATGACTGATTGCAAGGAATAAGAGTGACTCATTATGCCAAATAAATGAATACATGTGCATTTCTATTTCATGAATGAATCTGTAGGTGATTTTTAGGAGAAGACGTGACCTTTATGTTGTCTTTTCTATTTACCACGTTGTCTTTGTCATCACACCGGTAAATCTAATACACTTGCTCCTCTCTCTGACACAGTTGGAGTGGATGAGTTTCAGATAGTTTTATTCTGAGGGCTTGCTGTTTGTCCCACATACTGACAAAAAAAGATGAAAATCCATAAGCAGTCACTGAAATAAATGTCATCACCTTATGACAGATTCATTTTAAGCAGTTTATGAAAAAATATATAGCCACACTTCCATTTTCTCTGGCAGCATGTGGTCTGTCTTATTACTGTCCTCACGCTGATATTATTTATACTACCCTGGAACATGTGACTGAATATATTAACCTATTACACATTTCTGTCACTCTTTGAGAAATGATATGAGTACCAAATGTTCCAGTTGATTATTGTGGTATAAAACTTTCCATTTGCTGCAGTAACACAAATATGCTCCCCAATAACATTTTGGACTTTGACCTACTAGTCTTTTGCACGTGTCAGACACATGAACATGCACTATACTGTGTGTGACACTTTGGTCGTTTTTATTTAATATTAAACACATGTTCTTTTCACACAGCAATAATAATAGGTCAAATCAAGGTGTTCGTGTATCATCGTGTGTATGTAATGCTAAGAAGCTGAAGTACAATGATGCACAAGTACACTTGATGCATTTAAGTGGATGTTAGATATCAGACTGTTGTTATGCAGGCATGTGCATTGCAACTTGATTACAGCTAGCTTAACTGCCCAAAACTGAAATGCATACATGAGAAATGTTATACAGCTAGCCTAGCTATAACCTAGTATATCTGATTTTTACTGTCAACCTTCAATCAGTTAGTGATAGACTGAACTCTCAGTTGTCACAAGTTGTGCAGTTCATGTAATGACACAAACAACTATGGAGGCAAATCATCAAATGCCATTTAAACCATAGCACGGCATCATGTTATTGTGGCCATTGCATGTTTTTCTTGCAATCAATGTTTTGTTTTTAAGATGGGCAGTTTATGTGGCATGGGATGGGTTTCTGCAGATAACTGAAATTCAATCATGATATTCTACAGTTTCCTATGTGGTTTAATTTTGTGGCCTGTGTTTTTTCCTTCTTCTTCTCAACCACTGCTGTATATCATTTGCAAAATAAGTCCAAATTGTCCAACTGTTTGCAGATTATGACTTTATTGAATTTGATAAATAAATGATATAATTTGGTTAGGGGAAATGTTTGTCTCTAAGTTAACTGCGTGTTAATTAAGCCCCTCTGTCATATCACAGCAGCTCATGAATCACATTCCTTTCTGATGAATGCACCTCGCCCTCCTCACCACTACAGCAAGTATCACACATCTTTCATTTACGAGGGTGAAAAATCTCAATACAGAAATTTCCAACTGCTCTTCACGTAAAAAGATATCACTATCTGGCAATTATAGTTAAAAAAAATAGTTTGTATGGTAAAACTTTCTTTTAAAATGACGCCCTACTTTCCGAGTGCGGCAGAATACTGTATTTTCTCCTTCGCCATCTTGATGTTCGATCGCACAGGCGGAAGCAACATCTTCGGCGGAGCAACAGCGGGTGTGGTTCGGACTTCTACGGGTGGTTCACCTAGCAGCCCTTTTCCTATTTTCAGCCAAGAGAAAGGAGAAAATTTTCCTGACAAGAATCACGGAGGAGCCGCTCGACTCTGGTAAAAATAGCATGTTACTACATCTGTTATACAACGGATTTACAGCGGGACAATGTTTGCTTCACCCAAGAAAATCATCTTTGGCCGGGGAGGGGGCTCCGGTGGGGTTTTCTGATTTGGCTGGCAGCACAGCAGGTTTTGTATGGTGGCGCTTGGATCTACTTTTCATACGTCCTGGGTAGCTAAGCTAACGTTAATCAAACCAGAATTAAACACTTGAATGATTTGCTTAAAAGTCACATTTCCAATAATGAAGTGATTTGTATCTGTAATGACTTATAATACTGGTTGCGGGTCAGGAAAAGTCTTAACATTTTTTACCTTGTGGATGAAGCCCTAAACAGTGTTTGTTTATGTTAGCTAGTTAGCTAACTAGCGGAGGGGTTAGCTAGACACGTTAGGTTAGCTCAGCGAGCTTTCAAGGTAAGCTAGCCAACCTGTTAGCTAGCAGTGGTGGCTACATAGAAGCCAGCGCTTCGGGATTAATTTATATGTCTGTAAAATAGGTTTGGTGATTGATGCAACGTGTACACTTATTTTGTGTTTTAAGTTTTGATTAGGCAGCTTGTTACGCTCGTAGTTGGACCCACCATGAGAGGAGGAGACATGGAAGTGATTGCGGGGCGGAGGGTAGTTTCTCTCATTGGAAACCCAAGCTGCGAGGTCGGAACTTGGCCGTGGTAGGGGGAGGGGGAGAAATATGCCTTTGATGTTCTTTGCCGCTGAATGGTGAATTGTGTTCATGCTGGCCTGGAAATACCCACCGCTTTGCTCTCTCGGCTGGAGGTGGAGGCTCGGCATTTCCCCTCATAGCTACGTTAGCAAGCCAAACAAGAGTGAATCAGAGGCTGCTGGCACAGGTAGCGCAAGAGACAGCGGTTTTTATTATTGAGACCACGTAGGAGAAACGCATAAACATTACGATTAGGTTTGGCTTTGGCAAACAAGAACTCAAGGTTGAGTACGAGTTGTTTTATTTTTCCCTTGTGTACTTTTTCCTTTGTACACAGACATATCTGCTGTGCGGGCTGAGGGCAGACGAGAACAATGGCTACCCAGTGTAAGTATGAAAAACTTACTTTGATATAAATTTAAAGTTTTATGTTGATGTGAACACGGCCTTTCATAAAGTGTATTATGTGCACACATTCAATACTACAAGCCTTGAGGCACTGTGGAAATTGGAAAAATGGGAGCTAGGTGAGCACATGTTGCAGTTTCCCAAGTAATTATAAATCCTCTTTTGTTACATTTGAGTTTCTCCTTCAGGGGATGAAAACCTTTCTGGGGGGAATTTGATGTTTATGTACTTTAATTATCAGTAACATTACCTCTGGATAAAGGAACATGAGCTTTTCCTTTGCTCTTTGTTCCATTTATTTCCATTTACTTAAACACGACGTTATGTGTTCCTCTTTATTTTCCTGACACTTTCACCCCTTTTAATTCCTTCATCTCCCATCTGTATTAACTCAAGATTCCTGAAACTTTAAAGATCACTCTTAAAAAATGTTCTTGGCTCATAGTGGGAAAAGTATGTAGTGAGCAAAGTAAAGATTAGTCTTCTCCTAATCGGTCATTCTTAGTGATTCACCTTTTTTGCTCCTTTTGGGTAGCTGATTTGATGGAGTTGGACATGGCAATGGGGGACAGCAAGGCTGCAGTGAGCCAGTGGCAACAGCAGTCATACCTGGATTCAGGCATTCAGTCTGGAGTCACCACCACAGCACCATCTCTGAGCGGCAAGGGAAACCCTGATGCTGAGGAGGATGATCCAGGTCTTTACGACTGGGAGTTCAACCAGCCTTTCACTCCTGAGGCCACAGGTATACAAGATACTGATATATATCATAATATTTGTTATCACTGCATAACTGGTATGGCAAAATCTGACAAATGAAAACTTTCTATTTATCTCTTATTGTCATTAACTTTCAGACATTGAGGGTTATGCCATGACCCGGGCCCAGCGTGTGCGTGCAGCCATGTTCCCCGAGACTTTGGAGGAGGGCATCCAGATCCCTCCCACCCAGCTGGATGCTGCCCACCCAACGGCAGTGCAACGCCTGGCAGAACCCTCTCAGATGCTGAAGCATGCTGTAGTCAACCTCATTAACTATCAAGATGATGCTGAGCTAGCCACTCGTGCCATCCCCGAGCTTACCAAACTGCTCAACGATGAGGACCAGGTACATTTACAAATGAGTGAATTAACGCACTGTATCACAGTAAAATGTGGTATCATGTAACTTATCAGCTTAATGCAGCAACCAGATCATGTGTCCCTAACAAACATCGCCTCTGTCCTAGGTTGTCGTGAATAAAGCAGCTGTAATGGTGCATCAGTTGTCAAAGAAGGAGGCATCGCGCCACGCCCTGATGCGCTCTCCACAGATGGTCTCAGCCGTTGTTCGTGCCATGCAGAACACTGGTGATGTGGAGACAGCTCGCTGCTCTGCTGGCACCTTGCACAACCTTTCCCACCATCGTGAGGGGCTCCTTGCAATCTTCAAGTCTGGTGGCATCCCTGCCCTGGTCAAGATGCTGGGGTAGGAAACTGGAGGAATTGTGGTGCTTTATTTTGCATATGTGATCATTTATCAGTGTGCACATGCAAGTGGTCTGACGCTGTGTTGGAGTTGTATGTGTGGGGTGGGTTTGCGTCGGAATCTGATTGCGATGAATGGTTTTAGATTTCCTTGTAGCTCAAATTTTGGTTGGTACACAATACTGCACTGTCTCAATGAGAGGTAATTCACAAGGCAGGCCCTAATGCTATTTTACAGACTTTTACTATTGACTGCCTCTAATTGGGAAGACTTGTTTGAGTCTTAAATACACCCAGCAGGCTGCAACATCAATCAAAGGCCTATTCGACAATGGCACAAATCAACTAAAATGTGTTCACACTTGTGTGCCTCACGTACTCCCTTGCTCCTGTTTTCCTTTTCTTTTTAACTCAACGCTGTGCATGAAGGCTGGACAAAGTTTAAAAATTCAACAATGCACTCTGCTGCAACCGCTATGAGCCTATCAATCATGATTAAGCAAATAATGAGTAAACTGCAAACAAAGACAAACGGATATAGCTTTCACCCACTTTAGTTTGGTTAGCCAACCATCACATGCACAGAAGTACATCTTAAAACAATCCAACAAACCAGCAAGTATTAGACGAACCATGTTTTAATCAAAACTGACTCGTGACTTTGCTTTGATGTGAGGAAGCACTATCAAAAGTTGTGCCTATATTCTCAAATAACAACTGAAAATCCTCACCAACCAGCGACATTCCCAAAATACAGAATACTCCACAATGCGACAAATTTGATTTGTAAAAATGTCTTTCTTACTTTGCTCTTTGTATTCTCTGTGAAAAGCCAAAGAACACAGACAAAACAGTTAGCTGGCTGACAAGTTGCGACCTGTTGGATGTCACGTGTGTTTGAATTTGCACCTGGAATCACATTACCACACTTTAAATGCAGGGTGGAACAATAGCATGACAGTGGATGCTGAACTGCATAGTATTATGAGACTACAAGAAGTGATCACCAAATAGATTGAAAGCCATTTGGATTATTTTACCAACCTGAGTGAAAAATTGTAATCTTTTTTTTTAAATGTAGCGATAGTTTGTCATGTCACTTTAATGTTTCTATCAAATTTATGTGATTGAGTTTCTTTGTTAAACTTTGAGTGGCCCATTTGAAATTTTTCCTTTTAATTTTGAGATTATTAAGGTAGATGCGTACATTGGACAACCAACTTGTGTTTACTGGTAAATGCTCCAAAGTACCAGCTGTACTACATGTATCTGCATAGTGGTTGCGAGTAGCAGGCCAGTTTAGCAAGTTATTTAGGACTGCGTGCTTTCCTCTTATGATGTGTATAGTTACCAAGTTTCATTGTTCTTACACCTCACAAAAAAACTGGTGTTTTTTTCTGGGGGGTGGGGGGGTGGGATAAATGTACAGAGAAGATTGGTCAATAATTTGTCAACTATTTTGATAATTGTTTAGAGAAATTGTGATGGCATTTCTCATTATTTTCAGAAGTATTATAAACCAATGAATTTATGGAGAGAATAACCAGCAGATTAATCCATAATGACAATAACTTAGTTGCAGTTGGATACAAAACAGTTCAAAAGAGCTCTACCTAAACCAACTACAAGAGTAAAATAGTGCTTTAACATTTAATGCATGAGTAATAATAATCTGTTTACATAATACATATTTGGATAACAGTGACAGGGGATGCATTCTGCATTAATTACAGATGCAAATAATTCTTCCACCTGCATGTAAACTAACATGCTTTAGATAACAGTTACATACTATTTATTATATACATGTAATAATAATAATAATAATGGTGAATAACCATGGTAACGTGATATTTTCATGCGTGTGTGATTTTTTTTTTTTTTTTATCTGGTGTTTGTGTGTGTGTAACTAAAACACTAATTTTAAAGGGTGTTTTTGAAGGTGGTTGTGACTGTTAAAGTGTTGTCTGAATTTTTTTGTTGTTTTGGATATTTTCCCAGCTCGCCGGTGGACAGCGTGCTGTTCTACGCCATCACCACACTCCACAACCTGTTGTTGCATCAGGAAGGGGCAAAGATGGCCGTGCGCCTGGCTGGAGGACTGCAGAAGATGGTGGCCTTGTTGTCCAATACCAATGTCAAGTTCTTGGCAATCACTACTGACTGCCTGCAGATCTTGGCGTATGGCAACCAGGAAAGCAAGGTATTGGAACAACATATTTATGCCTACATTAAATTAATTCATCAAGGCCCTTACATGTCTGCTCACACCACCTGGGTGCCAGCAGTTGGTAGCAAGTCTAAACATAAATCTGTCTTTTAGCTGATCATTCTGGCCAGTGGTGGTCCCCAGGCACTGGTCAACATCATGAGGACCTTCACATATGAGAAACTACTGTGGACCACAAGCAGAGTGCTCAAGGTGCTCTCTGTTTGCTCAAGCAACAAGCCTGCCATCGTAGAGGCTGGTACGTATATACTTGTGAGACAGAAATGAAATGGAAACACAATACAAACATATGTAAATGTTCTGGTCTACTTCACTGCAGTACAACTGGGTGTTACAGGCTCTGGATACATTTTGTACTTGTGGTTTGCTACTCAGGTGAAAGTCCTCCGATGTAATGAATTTGTTTGTTGTACTTTGGCGTGTGTGTAGGAGGCATGCAGGCCTTGGGGCTTCACCTGACAGACCCCAGCCAGCGTCTGGTCCAGAACTGCCTCTGGACTCTGAGAAATCTTTCAGATGCTGCCACTAAACAGGTACAATGCGCTCAGTTGTCAAAAATAATTTCTTATGAGCCCCAGGTTCAGTTTACCATTACCAATTCATGTGTTAATAGCCATATTGTGTAACAAAAAATTCCAGTACATAGGACAGTTATGTTACTACATACATACAATATGCAGGAACCTCCAGTTGTTTTTGGACACTATTACTCCTTGTCTATTCATAGAATTTAATTTAATATAAAGTGTTAGATAAAACAAGTTGCTAAATTATTTAGAACACATTCATTGCTCTCCCCTCCATTTGTTTTCTTCTGTCCCTTCCAACCCATCCTCTGCTCTCTCCAGGAGGGAATGGAGGGTCTCCTGGGGACCCTGGTCCAGCTGCTGGGCAGTGATGACATCAATGTAGTGACATGTGCTGCTGGCATCCTCTCCAACCTGACCTGTAACAACTACAGTAACAAACTCATGGTCTGCCAGGTAAGAATTGTACAAACGGCTTTTGGAAATGTTGTTTTTATGTCTTAAGAAACCAAGATGTTAGCAACCCTTGAACATTAATATGTATCTCTGTGGAAATAGATTGTGTATTTTGACTCTGTCTGCTGTCTGATAACACGTAGTCCACTGATTGATCTCATCTTGTGTAGGTTGGAGGCATTGAGGCTCTGGTGCGAACAGTGCTTAGGGCCGGCGACAGAGAGGACATCACAGAGCCAGCAGTCTGTGCCCTGCGTCACCTGACCTCCCGCCACCAGGATGCTGAGATGGCCCAGAATGCTGTGCGCCTTCATTACGGCCTGCCTGTGGTGGTCAAACTACTCCACCCACCGTCCCACTGGCCGCTGATCAAGGTCATAAGCAACTCCGTTTCTCCACACATTTTTTTTCCAGCCTAAAAACATAATTTCGACCAGCCCTGCACATCGTTGATTAACTGGATTTAATTCCGACTAACTGAAATATGTTTAATCCCCCCCCCAACAGGCCACAGTTGGTCTGATTCGTAACCTGGCTCTTTGCCCAGCCAACCACAGTGCTCTGCGGGAGCAGGGAGCCATCCCCCGACTGGTCCAGCTGCTCGTCAGGGCTCACCAGGATACCCAGAGGCGCACCAGCATGGGAGGCAACCAGCAGCAGTTTGTGGTGTGTAACCAAGCCAACAAACCCTTGAGCTTTCTTTATTTGAACACTTACAATTTTCATTATATGTGTATTTGATCCCCCCCCCCCCCCCCCCCCCCCCCCAAACACACACAGGAAGGTGTGCGTATGGAGGAAATAGTGGAAGGCTGCACAGGAGCTCTGCACATCCTGGCCCGGGACGTCCACAACAGAATTGTCATCAGAGGGCTCAACACCATTCCACTCTTTGTCCAGGTAAATCCAGCCCCTTCACTGTGAAATCTTACTTTGAAGACAAACTCTTACAGTCACAAGCTGCATGTAACAAAAAACAAATCTGTTGATGAGCAACTTTGATTCTCCCTCACTCCATTATTTTTCCACTACCTGCATGTCAGGCTCATCTGTCTTTACCGCATATCTTATCCTTCTCCCTGCTATTCACTGTCTCCAGTTGCTCTATTCTCCAGTGGAGAACATCCAGCGTGTGGCGGCAGGTGTGCTGTGTGAACTGGCTCAGGACAAGGAAGCCGCCGAGGCTATCGAAGCTGAAGGAGCCACTGCACCTCTGACTGAGCTTCTGCATTCCCGTAATGAGGGCGTTGGTGAGTATGCATATACAGACTGTGCACACATTTCTATTTGTCAGTGTACTTGTGTACTGTCTGTGCACTTGACTTACATTTCTGTGTATGTCTCCTTTAGCAACCTATGCTGCAGCCGTCCTGTTCCGCATGTCTGAGGACAAACCCCAGGACTACAAGAAACGTCTGTCAGTGGAGCTGACCAGCTCTTTGTTCAGAACTGAGCCTATGGCCTGGAACGAGGTAACACACACACACACACCAACAAATAAACTATGGTGAAGTACAACCCACTTCTTCAGAAGTGATCGAATAAATATCCAACAATGTCAGTATTTTACAGTATTTACTGCGTACAATTAGTAAGGTACTAATATATGAGATAAGACAAATACATCTACTCCTCTACATAGGCTGGCTTATGTCAAACTTTACTCACTGTTTTGCCTTTTTATAGACTGGAGACCTGGGACTGGATATGGGAGCACAGGGGGACCCTCTGGCTTACAGGCAGGATGGTGAGTGCCTGTTCTATCTGTAATGAAATCTCCGCTCTGTTCCTCACTTTATTTTACATTATTTATTTTTCATTCTTTGGTTTATTTATTTTGATCTTTAAAAGCATCTGATCTCTTGATACTGACAGAAAAATACATTGTAACTGTATCGAACGCTATGCGACGAAACCGTGTCTTTTCAGCATGTACACCACCAGTAGTGACAGCTGATCACTACAGACACTGTCTGTGCAATAAAATTTTTATTTTTGATACCTTTTTTCAGATGGAGCCTACCGTGCCTACCCAGCAGCCTACGGCCAGGACTCTCTTTTGGACCCCATGATGGAAGGTGCCGACTACCATACTGACACTCTGCCTGACCTGGGCCACCACACTGATCCGTTGCCAGACCTTGGCCACACCCAGGACCTGATGGACAGCAACCAGCTGGCCTGGTTTGACACCGACCTGTAGGATTGGTAAGACAGACTTCCAAAGAAAACCATAATTACAATATGTGATATAAAAAGCAATACATTGATTAATTGATAGAGAATTTTGTCCTGTGCTCTTTTGCAGTTGTATTGATAGAACCTGCATTGTGATTGGCCTGTATTGTCTGAATCAGCATTATGATTGGCCTGTATAGTTGTTGAAGAGGAAATAAAGGGTCTTGGAAAGTGCCTGACACAAGAAAACAAAGAAGATGGTTGCCACGGGAATGTTTAAGCAAGTTGAAAGTGGGGGGGGGGGGTTAAATATCAGAGATGTGGGATCACACAATGGAGGTCTTGGAGCAGGTTACCTGAATGGATGAGTGCACATGAGGTGGATCTTAAAAGTTTGAAACACATATGTTTTAGCCTTGCCTGTATTCTTCTCAGTTTTTTCTTTCTATTTTTCTTATTCTATTTTTTTTATTTCATTTTTGTATTACTCATTCTCCGTTATGGTACTGACCCAGCTTGCCTTCGCACTAGCCATCTTCATTTTCTCTTCCATGCTAGTCATTTGTAATATTTTTTTTAAACGTATATTACATGTAGTGTTAAGTTATAGTGATATTATACAATGTTCCTTTTGGTTTATGGCCGAATGTGTAGAACACTAATAATCAGTTGAATTGTACTCTGACTTAAAGTGTAACATTGTGTAGTTTTTTTTTTTTGTTTTTTGTTTTTTATAATCTCAAAAATGGAGAATTATGCATTCTTAATATGTGCTTGTTTAAGCATAAAATATGTCAGTGTCACAAATGTTCTAAAGAGGGATATGGGTGAAATTGAGGGTGGGTTGGGGATAAATCTAGAGACAAGTGTTTTATATACAGTATCACTGGTAGGTTAACAACTATTTTGTATGCTATCATTGGATGTCTGATAGAAAAGTCTTTAATGCTATCATTGGTGGTCTAATAAAACCCAGTTTTATGTGCTATCAAGGGTAGCTAGGTTGATGAACCAGTTGTAGTCCTGCTGTGCTTATTTTGGAGACAAGGTTATGACACGGCTGAACAATAAAATGGCATTTTATTTCATTTAGTCTCTGTTCTGTCTTTTGTTCATACATGGGATGCACTGGTGGGTTACTTCTTTGATAGACAGGCTGTGTGTTTTCAAGTTTTTACAGTATGGAGGGGAAAGGAATATAAATTATGGCCGGTGAAATAAGGCTGGGCGATATGCCCAAATGGTATGTTTATGGTCAACATTACAAACACTTGATGCTAAACAGTGAATCACTTAACAAATCTGAGGTAGAACATTCCTAACAATTATGATAAACTTTTTTTTTCCTCAAAATAAAAATGTGCAAATTCATTCATGATTCAAATAATTACATCGAATATTTACTGATGATAGATTGAACATTTATATTGTTATTGGGGAAAATTATATTGCGGTAATTGTTTTATTGCCCAGCCCTACTGTGACATTACCTTCTAGTTGTGTCTTAACAGTTGTGGTTCTCTGTCCCATTCAATGACTCAGCATTGCAGAAATCTCATCTTAGACAAACATGTTAAATCAGTGATTTGAATCCTGCATTCATCATCTCAGATAAACATTTCAAAGATCTGACCATTTCTTTCAGACAAAAATCTGGAAGCAGTTCTTCATCCATTTATAACTTGTCGGTTAGTTTATTGTAATTCCTTGCTCTGTGGTATTGTAAGAAATTCCTCTCCTTCCTGCAGCTCATCCAAAACTGCTGACAGGATTTTGACTCAGTTGAGTCAAAAGTTATTTAGCACATCTTTTAGTGCCATTCACTACCTGAGATCCTTGGATGCGTTGTTCCAAGGTCCAGATTCATGCTCAAAGGTGATGGAGCCTTTGTGGTTAAGGCTCCCACATTGTAGAATGACCTGCTGAGGAGATCAGGGTTGCAAAAACTGCAATACACCAGAGTTTTAAAATGAGGCAAAAGCTTAACGGATTAAAAAAAGTGAACTAAATAAGCAATTGAAAAATGGATACTACCGAGTCAGTTAAAATATCACCGAAATTATTTCCACTCTTGGATTTCAGTTGCTGCTCTCCTGTAAACAGGAAGATCAGTTGTAATGATTTAAAGCTGTGTTAAGAAAGAGATGGGAACTGAGGCCTTTGCATTTGTATGTATATGTACATGTGTGTATAAAGGATATTTTCAGAGGAAATTATGTGGTAGACTATCTTAAAATGTAGGGTTCACAGCAGTGAGCACATCTGTCCTGCTGCAATCACACTCTTTCCTAAATAGTCTAAAGCTTCATTGCTACAGTTAACTCCAGTAGTGTTATGTCCTTAGTCACACACACTGATTTGGGGATATAGAGGGAACATCTGACATATTAAGCAACAAGGACATCCAATAAAAGTGCATTTTAGTGTGCCAAGAGGATTTCACCACCAGAAGATGTTAGAAAGATGTTTTGTGAGCAAATGCAAAGTACAATATGCTTAAGGGCAAACTCATCCATGTCAGTATCTGGTAGTCAGCCAAGATGTTTCATTTCATTGATCATCACTGCACCTCCAGTCATTGCAGACTGTTCTGGTTGTGAAGTGTGAACAACAAGATTGGAAGAAGAAGTCAGGGGAAAAGCTCAAGAGTGTGGTCAAGGTTCTTGTAGTTTTTCCTGCTGTTGTATTTCAGAAATGGTTAAGCAGCATAACTGAGAAAAGCAATCTGAAGGGACTTGACTTGTTCAATGGCAGAGATACAGATATACAAATATTTAATATATTATATATTATATATTTAATTATATATATATTATATATTTAATGGCTGCAGAGATTCAATATATATGGGGGGTAATAAAGACATACTCAGAATGAAAGATTAAATGGTTTATGAGAGCAATATGAAGAAAGGATAGAAGTTCACTTTCATGGTATGCTGGAAGACAGGTAAGCCTGATCTGACATGACTTAAAGCATCATTTAACCACTGCGATAACAGGAAGAAAGGGTTTCCTTTAAGTGTAGGCTTATGCTTTTTAAAAAATATTTTTTTAGATGTAAAGTAAGACGGAAGGTATGTGGAAATCCATAATCTGTCAAATAGGCCTAGAGTTTCTTGGATAAAATGTGCACCATAAACAAATTTAAAACATTCATCACACACATCTATCTTTACAAACCTAGACCGTGTTCATTGATTCCATGTGTCCATAGTTGTTAAAGAATAATTATTTCATGTATGCCTTTAGAAACGTTTGCAAAAATCCAATTGGTAAGGTGCAGACCTGCAGCTTCTTCTGAAGTGATCTATCACTACCAGCCCTTAAGACAGGCATTTAAAATCAATAGGACATTAGAGTGTGTATTCCATGTTAATGAGAACCTTTTCATAAGTGAATGAGGTTCTGAATCCTCAGGTGGGGTCATGTACATGATAATGGCTATTGTCTAATGGGTTACCTGGATGTAGTTGTTTGTGTATGATCCATATCTCTTCAGATGTAAATAACACACAGAAGCTCCAAACCATAGAATTCAACAACTCACGCCAGTTTCTTTTTTCTTCTTTCAAGTTTCTTTTATCCTGTTGTGGTAGTCTTTTATCTGCCATATTATCAAAATATACACACATTTCATCATATCAAAGGTATAAAAAAAACTGTGTACACTCATCTTAATACCAATTATGCTCCTTTGTCACATAGTTAAAGACTTGTGGTCAGTGGTCAACTGGCCCCACTCAAATTTTTCCACCTCATTAACGAAACAAAACGTTCTCATTAACCTGCAGTGCACATCCTATTCAACCACTACAAGCTACTTCCAGTTGAATACATGTAAATGTATATTTTTGTATGTTGCTGTGAAAGAAGCCTGAAAACCAAAGAAAACTGTATACCCTCATAAGGCCTTCTAACAAATAAATGTTAGTCTGCCATGCCCAATTTAAAGTTTAGATATAAATTCTGAAAAACAAAGAGGCAGATCAGACACCATATAGACATGCTGATGAACTTTTGGAAACTATTACTGCGATCACTGGCTCCACCTCCAGCAGTAATGGCTCATCTACTTATCAAAAGGCCCTCATTAACCTGCACTGCACACCCTCTAATGCCCTATTGTCCCAACAGGACTTATACCTAGAGCTGCACTTCACATCCACATCTGCACTCTGTGAGGTTGTGATCACTCTGTGTGTGGGACTCGACTCCTCTGACTCTCCAACAAGCAAAATGCAGAACAGGACAGAGAAGTTTGGGGCTCAGCTGCCTCTCTTTGCTCCAGCCAGCAGCTCTCAGCAGCATCTGTTCAGGAAAAGCACCACCTACCTGGCTAAGATTGCCGTTATCCTCCAAGACGCTCCCGGCAAAATGCTCACTTTCACTCAGGTAAGAAAGAGTCAAGACATTTGCAATAACCATCTTTGAGAAAATTGTATAGGAAATGCAAATTGTTGTTTGAAAAACATTTAATTTAATTTCTACTTGATGTTTTGTAGTTGATGGACAGACTGGCACCATTAATCTCTGAAGACAGAAAATCTGTTGAGAACAACATCAGAGTTTGTTTATCAACCAGCAAATGTTTTGTCAAGGTAAGTTTCTAGTCCAAAACTTTGGATATTTCTAAATGAACAAATGTATTATTTCATTAAAGAAACAGCTCAACCTTGTCTCTAAAAACCCTGTGCTGTATTTTTCAGGTCCCGGTGGTCCCAGAGTCACTGCACAGTAAGAGAAACTACTGGAAACTGGACCCCAATCAGATCACAGCAAAGATGGTGCGTCGTCACTTCAAAGGAATCCTGCAGAACTTCCCTGAGTTGGCCTCCAAAGTGGAAATGGAAAACACCAGCAGACCATCAGAGCCCCGCTCAGCTCTCCACTCTCCTGAACCTGCGGCCTGCAAAGCTGTTCAGATCAGATGTGAGGTGAAGTTCAGCAGTCCCTTCTCAATTGAGTCCCTCCTGAAGAGAGACAGTCCCTCTGCTTGGGCCTCCAGAGCTTCTCCTCTGTCCAGCGTGCCGGTCAGAGTGGAGCAGCAGCCTCGGCCCACACTCGGACACAGAGTTGGGACAGAGAGGAGCTTCAGCTGGGACTCTGAGGAGCCTCTCCTCCTTCAAGCTTCAGCTGGAAGTTCCCCCATCTGCTCAACAGGGGGCAGCACTCACCATGAACTCACTGCTAATGGAGCCACTGAGCCCTTAAAGAGGATGCATGTGTGCACTGAGCCCTCATTCCCCTTCTACACAAGAGCCAGTGCTGCTCCTTATTTCACCAGCCCACCCAGCATTTACTACACTTACCCATGATGCTCTCTGTTTCTGGCTGTAATGTGTTTTGTACCTGATGTACTAGCTTTCTGGGGGACTTTATTTTTTCAATAAAATGTAAAACAAATTATGCTTTTGGTTATTAAAAATCTGAGTGAAACCAAACATTGGTAAGACACTAACATTGTTTGTTTTTCTAAACAGAATTCACTGACGCCAACACTTTAAGAAGTAGTAAGAAAAGCACAGGTGATACTAATGACATTAACAATGGCTCTGTTGTATTCACGTGCCAGTATGCACAATACCAGGACCCCTGAAACTGAAGCGCCTAAATGGAACGCTACTGTGACATGTCAAAAAAAGCTTACTTTCAGCAAGAGCAGAGTAAAACAGGCTTTATTTATCCCACACTGGGGAAATTCACTTGTTTGAGTGCCATATTGCATGCTTGTCTTGTTTTGTTTTAGTTTCACTGATCTAACCTTAACACAGCAGGCCTGTGAGTGTTTTAGAACTAGTTTCTGCTTATCACCTTGCAACTGATTAGTATTGGTCGTAAAGGAGCATTTTAACAGAGGGAGTAAGTTATTGAGTGTACTCCTTTTCTTTTTTTTTCCCTATCAATATTTACACATAACAGTCTGAACACTTCACCCTGTTACTTTCTGTTCATACATTCAGTGGATCAACAATATCTGATCACTCAGCCTCAATGGTTCTTTGGTTAAGTAAAATAACCTAAAAATAATCAGTTACAAGTTCAACAACAATTACCTGAAACCCAATATCCAGAAAGGCCAAAGAGCT